GGCGACCACGTGCCAAAGAGCAACCACGTGCCAAAGACACCCCAAAATACAAAGAAACCCCAAAATACAAAGAAACCTCAAATACAAGGACACCCCGAAAGACAAAGACACCCCAAACCAGAAGGAAGGAACGATGGCAAACGCTTCACGCCGCTGGCGGAAACGGGAATGGTACGTTTCGCAAAGCCAACCGCGCGTCGTCGCAGCGACAGCCCCGAGTGCTTCGCCGCCACGGCCTTCAGGGAGGGATCTACCACGGGTCAAACAGAAACCAATGCCGCTGGAGGCCTGGGGTGGCTGGAAATCAGCTGAGTCGTTTAGAGACTTGGGTTATTCCAAACAAATCGTCTGATGCCGTTCAGGAGCAAAATACCGCGCACGCGAAGCTGCCCACGCTTTAAAACGGATGCGATCGGCTGCGAGAGCGGTGAGGTTCCTCCTCAGCACCTCTGTTATATGCACATGTAAACACGCACATATAAACACACACACATGTAAACACGCACATATAAACACACACACACATGTAAACACGCACATATAAACACGCACACATGTAAACACGCACATATAAACACGCACACACGTATAAACACACACACACATGTAAACACGCACATATAAACACGCACACACGTATAAACACACCCCCACAGAACACTCGGGCTGATACGCGCCTTTGGCAGGACCTTGCTCATATTTAAACCCAAACACACGCTGGAAAGCTGGCGGCCCGGGAGCCCACCCGTTTTTGCAGGTTATGTTGGAAAAACAACCGCCCAAAGAAGGCGCCGGAGGTGGGTGTCTGCCTGCCCGGCACGCCCCACACGAGATGACCCTTTGACCTTTCAAAAATTAGAGCTACTTCGGTTTTGGTTTGCATTTTTGATCATCAAATTCCCCTAGTGCCAACATGCCACGCGTTTCCCAAACCAAAATTCCTCTTCTTCCCCTTCCTGAGCTTAAGGCTCAGATTGTTACAATACAGCCTGTAATTGAAAAGCTTTGTTACTAGTGCTATTGTTAATATTACTAATTAATGATTGCACTGTAGCAATCGGGGCAGATAAAGCAGGAGCTTACCTGGAATAGCAGGAGAGACTGGTGCTAACGAGAGTGTTAAACACCGCAACGGGGACGTAGCAGCGGTGGAAAGTGCTGTCGACCCATTCTGCCGGGAACACGTACGCCGAGTAAGCCAGCGCAGACCCTGGCAAGACAGGAGGTGCCCGGTTGGTTCCAGGTCCCACCGGGACCCTCAGCATCATCCTGCACACAGCTGGGAACCTTCGAACTGGCGCTCGGCCTTGGGCTCTCCCCGGAAAGGGAGGCGGGAGTGAAGGCAGAGGAGCAGCTATGGAGAGCCGGCGCCCCGAGAGCCAGCTCCCGCAGACACCGTTCCGTGGGGAACCCGAGGCGCCTTGTGCCACGCCAAGACCCCGGCGGCTGCTCCCCTGGGCTTGCCCCGTGGCGAGGCGCCACCAACTTGGCTTGAACGTGGGGTTTTTTTTTTCCTTTATTCTATTGACTGCAAAGACCAAAGGGTGTCACGCAGCCAGATCTCCATCCCCCGGCTGCCCGGTAGGAAACCCGCCCCCAAATCATTGTTTGTGGCGGTGACAGAGATGCTTCACGGTCCGTCCCAAGCGCAGGGAGGAGGAGGAGGAGGAGGAAACTGGACGCAAGCAGCCACCGTTGGTGCTCGTCCCGTGGGGATGAGCCACCTGAGCACCCGGGGTTCAGCCCCGTCGCCGATGCCTCCCTGTGCGCCAGCTCCTGGTGCCCCGGGGAGGTGCTGGGGAGCGGCTCTGCACCCCCTGCACCCCGGCCCGTCCTTACCCAAGCTGTACATGCTGAGCGCCGCGTAGTCGAAGAAGTAGCAGATGTGCCGGGCGCGGGTGGACATGGTGCTGAAGGTGTGGGCGCAGCTGGAGGCCAGGGGGTAGATGCAGCAGGTCAGCAGGTAGGCGAGGAGGGGCCAGGCGGGGGGGACCGCTCCCCGCAGCCGCCCCACCAGGGTCCACACGAAGTACCTGCGGGACGGCGGAAGGTGAGCATCGCGCCCTTGGGTGTCCGTGTCCCCCCCTCCCAGGCCCTGCTCCCGCCACGGAGACCCACCACCTCCTCCCGCAGAAGACCCAGAGCGTGGTACCTACCAGGCAGGCACAAAGTGCGTCCAGATATTTAGCGTCTCGTTCGTCATTTGGAAGACGCTGAGGAGGCAGTCTGCTGCCGAGCTTCTTGGGGGGCGATACCCGAAGAGGATCCCCTGCTCCTGGTACCCCTGCAAGGCAAGGACTGGCACCGGTCGGAGGAGAAGGAAGGACAAGTCGGAGGAGGAGGAGGAAGGAAGGTTGCCAAAAGGAGGGTGCCCATCGTTCAGGCCCCAGGACCCTGCTGCGAGGACAAGACGCTGAGGAGGCAGTCTGCTGCCGAGCTTCTTGGGGGGCGATACCCGAAGAGGATCCCCTGCTCCTGGTACCCCTGCAAGGCAAGGACTGGCACCGGTCGGAGGAGAAGGAAGGACAAGTCGGAGGAGGAGGAGGAAGGAAGGTTGCCAAAAGGAGGGTGCCCATCGTTCAGGCCCCAGGACCCTGCTGCGAGGACAGAGCTGTGTCGTCCCCCCGCCCCCGTGGGACCCCAGCGGGCTGCTCCCGCCTGTCACCTCCCAAAAAATCCCACCGAGCCTCGGGCGGAGGGAAGAACAGCTCCTCTCTGACCTTGGGCACTTGGTTGATGCTGAGCAGCCGCGGCAGCTTGAGGCTCAGCATCGCCTGGGTCGGGGCTTTGGCTCCGAGGGACGTTTCTGGCTCAGCTTCCCTGGGGGACGAGCCCCGGCGGTGCCTCACAGCCC